ACACACACACACACACACACACACACACACACACGTCTATTGCTTGTGATAGGTGGCATAACAGGCCGAAGGTGTTCAATGGCTGACAGGCAGATTGATTTTTCCCCCTGACAGTGGGAGAAGCCCCTCCATTTATAACATTCGCAAACACACACACACACACACACACACAGAGTTTTTGGGCAGACATATCATTGGCATACATTCGAAGCAACTCTTAACTGCCAATCTCAGCCCAAGCATAAGGTGTGTCAGCTGTCTGTCTCCCATGCTAACACACACAAAAACACCAACGTCGACAACTGCTGAACACAGCAAATCCAGGCGGGAGATTTAGGACAGACAGTGTGTGCAAGTATGTGTGTTTATGTGACTTGAATGTTTCTAAAGGCCATCACTCACTGTCTTTATTCCCTTTGAGCATCATCTGAAGTCTCTGTCGCTGTGCATCTATACTTGTCTTTGCCATTTTAAAAAGGTCAGCGATCCATTTTGAGAGATACTGTAAGTTATTTCTCTTCAGTGGTTTTGAAGCAAATCTGTAAACAAAGGTAAATAATGCTAAGTTTCAAGATTATTGCATGCAGCATAAAAATGCATTGTATTGTAAATGAAGTATGCTAATTGTAATTCCTAACCTGTACAGCACATTAACTGTGTATAAGGAGAATATTGAGAAGAGAGAATATTTTGTTTTCACTTCTATGACAACGCTCATTGCTCAGTACTAAATGGAAAAATTCTTGTTTTATTGCTGGCTGGATATCTAATTTTGAAACAAAACAGCTTTGTTCCTCAGTTTTCAGTTGTTTAATAACTTTCCATTTTTCCAACCCAATGGAAGTTCACGCTTCCAGCATTTGAGTGCCGTTTTTGGTCTCCTCTGTCAGGGGAATAGAATTGGGAACTCTGGTGAACTTCAGGATATGTATAATTCATAGAGGTAATGATAAACAAACAAAAAAGGAAAAAAATCAAAGCCAATTCCAGCTCATCACTGTATATACAGTATGTGGCTACATGCATGTGCTGCTGTGTTCACGTCTATGCTGTGTGTAACTCCACCGTTTTACTTGGTCTTTTACTCTATGTACTTTTAAATAACTGAATATCCATTTCAAAGAGCACTGAATTCATGGATGCAGGAGTATGAGGTATCCGTCTGTTTACCATGGGAAAGAAACTTTGTGACCTCCGCAAACCTAATACTTTGATCTTTTGTTATTTCACTCTAAAGCTGGGAACCACAGACATACTCAGACAAACACACTCAGTAATGACTTGTCATCCTTCCCAAGTCATTACTGAGTAAGAGGACGAAAAGCAGAGAAAAGAGCAAGTGCAGTGAGGGAGCGAGAGTTACATAAAGTACAGATTCAACATCCAATATTGTCTACTGCAGGCATAGAGCCAGTACCGTCTACCCCAAATATACCTGTGTTTTCACAAAATATTTCTGCAGACATTTATATAGTCACTAGGGATAGGTAGCGAAAACAGGTAATAAAACGTGCACCAGGGCTAAATTATTAAAGACTGTGGTATCGATAAACTCCAGCTTTATTAGTTCTACTCGGAGAAAACATGATGAATTTTCTCTTTTCTCCTTTCTTTCCTGTGTTTGAGGGGCAGAGGTGGCTGTTTGCTCGCTGCTGCTCCACGCCGTACTTGAGCACACACCCAGTGAAATATCCGAGTGACTTAATTGTTTAAAAGTGCGACTGTACTTCACAAGCAAAGCTACTGACAACGCAGAAGCACAAGCCATCTTTCCATACTTTTTCTTTGGTTTATCCAGTTCTTTGTCGTGATAGGGCTGGTGCCTCAGAATTACTGTTGTATTGTTAAAAAAAATACTGTAAAACTTGGAGCTTTACTAGATATATGCTATAATAAATGATTTAATTACATATTTTTACAGCATTATCCTGTTAAAATAAAGTATCGTCTGGTATAAATAAAAATAACTGTAAATAAATGTCAGTATAGTGTAACCCAATTCCTAAAATCATCTTAAACAAAAAAGGAGAAAAAGTAAAACATTTTATGTTCATTGTTTCTGTTCTTACTGTTCTTGTTTAATGAAAGGGAAACGAGATCAAAATATTTATTTAAACAAAAAAGGGACACAGATTTATATATTTGTTCTGGTTAAACAAGGGTTAAGTTTCTCCGAGGGTTGATGAGCTCTGATGAGAGCTGTTAGGTTTTACTCCACTCCTCTCGTGTCAGCCAATCAGTGAAGCTCTAGGCAGCTCTTATCCTTCCTTAGTACCAGCTCCCAAGTTTTCAGTCTCTTGCTTCTATAGCCGAACAGAGCAGGCGGGCTAAAAATTGTTATCGAGGACAGAACAAGACCGGAAGTTTTACTGAGCTGTGGCTTCACGTAAACGCTGAGCATCCACTCAACAGGTTTTTATATGGGACGAATCTAAAGACCAGGTCAGCAATTCCAGAACCCAGAGTGTTACAGTGTTCACTGGATGGCGAGCCAACCTAAGATCCTAGGAGACGATATACATATACACACACACTCATTTGCACATTGATGGACTGCAAT